ACATGAACTAAAAAATATTTGGATCCATTTTTCTTTTAAATTTTGATTTATGAGTGTTCGTACACCAATTTTGATACCATGTAAATGATATATGGACACAAACACATATGTAGATGCAGTAGTACAATACACAGCTGTCCACACATACATAAAACAGAGAGGGAAAAAGATATTGTAGCTTTTTGTAGGTAGATCTCCACAGGTAGGAAGCAATGCTACAGATGTTTATTAAAGGTTCTATTAGAAGCTGGGGCTGAGGGGAGGGGGGATAGTAGGGGATAGGAAAGGTAGCAGAATACAACAATTACTAATAGGGCATGATGTAAAATTGTGGATGTGTCACCGACGTGATTCTGCAATCTGCATTTGGGGTAAAATTGGGAGTTCATAACCCACTTCAATCTAATGTATGAAATATGATATGTCAAGAGCTTTGTAATGTTGTGAACAACCAATTAAAAAAAAAAAAAAAAGCTGGGGCTGTAGCTCAGTGGTGGAGCGCCTGCCTCACATGTGTGAGGTACTGGGTTCAATCCTCAGTACCACATAAAAATAAATAAATAAAAATATTGTGTCTATCTACAACTAGAAAAAATTTTTAAAAGGCCTCTATAGATAACTTGTTAGAAATTAAAATAATGCTTTTTTGAACTTTCACATTATGACTTAAATATAGTCTTAAATATAGTCTCCCTATGATGTAGAGTTGGAAATGACAGGGGTAAGGTCTGGCAGCAATAGTGGACAATGAAATCAGATGGCCACTTGTCTTCGATGGCTATCAGATTTATTCCCAACATTACTATGTATATGTCCTTCTTAGGATTTTGTGAAGGAGATTTTCTTTTTTATTTTTTTTTAATTGATTTTATTTTTTTAAAAATACACGACAGTGGAATGTATTACAAAACTTATTACACTATAGAGCACATCTTTTCATATCTTTGTATAAAGTATGCTCATGCCAATTCATGTCTTTATACATGTACTTGTATTTTTTTGCATTACAATTCTTATTACACATATATACCACAATTTTTCATATCTCTGTTTGTATATAAAATAGGTTGACACCAATTCATGTCTTCATACATGTACTTTAGATAATGATGTCCATCACATTCCACCATTCTTGCTAATCCCCTGTCTCCTCCCTCTCCCTTTCTCCCCTCTTCCCTATCTAGAATTCATTTATTCGTCCCATGTTCCCCCTCCCTACCTCACTATGAGTCAGCCTCCTTATATCAGAGAAAACATTCGGCATTTGTTTTTTTGGGGATTGGCTAACTTAGCATTATCATCTCCAGTGCCATCCATTTACCTGTGAATGCCATGATTTTATTTTCTTTTATTGCTGAGTAAAATTCCATTGTGTATATATATGCCACATTTTTTTATCCATTCATCCATTGAAGGGCATCTAGGTTGGCTCCACAGTTTAGCTATTGTGAAATGTGCTGCTGCTATAAACATTGATGTGGCTGTGTCCCTGTAGTATTTTCTAATGTGTTTGAGAGCTAACCCTTAAAATTGGCCTCTGAACAAAAACAGAGTATAAAAATCTCTAGTTAGATAAAATAAGACTAATAAAAAATATATTAACTTGGGTGTGCAGGATCAAGTATGAATTCACCATAAAACCATGATCTCAAAAATATAGAATTAAAAAAAAAACAGATGTTCTAAGAAAATGACATGGCTGTAATTAATAAAGGAGCATATAGTACATCTTTATCAGATCAGAGTTCACTATTTTGGCTCAGATTAGAGTCAGTTCAGATATTCAGAGAATGTGAGGGTCCTGAAGTCCTCAGGTAAGGATTATCAAAAGACTTGTATACATGAGGTCATTCCATTTTTCCTCCCTGTGCTGCAGTGTTTATAGAGAGGAACTTACTAAGAAAGCAGGGTGGTAGAGTGCAAGACCTTGCTTTGGTCTCAAGCCAGTTCTCTGCAAGCCCTGAAAGTCTTGAAAGCTTTGTATGCTCTGTAATTTACATTTCAAATGTAATCCTTGTTGATGATAGAGATCTGGCAGAAGCTAAGAAGTAAGAGAAGCTGCTCTTTCAAGCTTGAGAGGCAAAACTTTATGCATAGGGCATTTTAACCATTTTTTTTTCTTTTGTAAAATCAGTCTCTTAAGGTTTGGTCCTATATTTTATCCTCCAGAGACTTGTTTTCATCTCTCCAGTTTGTAATCAGGCTAGGTTGGATGCACAAAATTATGAGATATCCTTTTTCCAACTGTGATTATGTCATTTCACTGGCCTGGCAGCAGAAGAAAATGAGACACTTTTTGTGCATCTAGCTCTGAGAGCCTGTAGTGGCTAGCAGTTTCCACTTCTCTTTTCTGAGGACAAGGTTCCCCTCTGGAACAAAGTAAAAATCCCAATTTTTTCACTGTGCAGGCTAATGGTGAACCTGACATAATGGCTGAGAATGAAGCTCCCATCTGAGAATGAGAAAACAGTACTCAGGTGACCATGCCAGAGAAAACTGCCCATTTCACTAGGGACATCTCCCCATGAGCTTCTGACAGTGCAGCAAACCTGTCTTTCACCACCTGGTTCTGCTAACTCTATTGCTGGCTCCTTGGCAGAATATCAAGGGCTTCATTTGCCCCATGCCAAAGACCCTGGGAAATTCAGACTCAGAGGCATGACTGAACTCTCCTGCCACTATAAACTTCCAATGTAATAACCCATGGAAAAAAAGCCTATAATGGGGTGCATTTCTCTGCCCTGTGGGATAAAAGAATCCCCAGAGGGTATAGAGAACATCTAGTGGTCGTTAGATGCTTAATATTTTTTTCCTAGAGGAGTTTACTTAAGGGGTGAATTGAATATGTCTCCTTTTTGCAGCCAAAGATGCTCCTAGAGCACACAGGAGCACAGAAACAACAATGGGAATCCCTACAGGCTTGTAAAAGCTTAATATTCGAACAAAGTGAATGCAGACATTTCCTTATGAACCAGTTCATGTCCCTGTCACAACCCTAGAGTCTGAGCAGCTAGAGTCTGATCAGTGAGAGGAGAGGGGTGCTTGGGGAGGAGTGATTGTGGGGGAGTGCAGTATGGCTCATTTGGAGGTACATGTGTTTTGGGGCTTTTAATCAGTGCTGCTTTATTGACTAGTCAGCGCAGATATCCCATAGGGCGGCAGGGAGAGGGAATTGGGGGAGAAATCTTTGAGGTTCACCAGGGAGTGGTCTCGGCCAGATCCTTACAGTTGTCGCAACCCTTTGTCCATCTCCATGCATCCAAAGGCACATTAGGATTAGAGACACTGTGTACTCAGGCCAAATGCTCTCTGAGCCTGGATAAGATAGTGAGAAACATTTGGCAAAATCCAACATGCCTGAATTACAGGATAGGTGATTTAGAAGCCACCTATGCCATGAAACCTGTAACCTGAGTCTTGAAGAATTGAGGCTTGTACTAACTGCATTTAATTAGGCAAGTAGTGCACATTATTGTCCTCCAGAAAGAAAGAAAGAGACAGAAAGACACAACTCAGAAAAATGTGGGGTGAATGCAAAGGAGCTTACCTTGGTCATGATCCTGGATGAGCGCCCATTTGAAACCAGAGATGATACCAGTGTTGAAAATAAATCAAGATCCGGGTCCCAAATCCCCTGGTGCTGAAGAGTCAACACCCGAGAAACACTGGAGCAAGAGCAAAAGGTTTTATTTAAGGAATAGAACAGAGGGCTGATAGGGGGTGGGAGGCAGTCCTCCAGAGAGAGTGAGACAGAGAAACGAAGAGTTCTCTACAGAGAAGGGGTTCCAAAGCTGGTGCCCAAGGGAGTGAGAGTGTTGTCCTGCCCCTTTTATAGATTTTACATTTTACTTTCTCATGCCCCCTCCTCCCATCCTGCCTACACGACCTAAAGGTGAAGTGATCCAAGGGTAGGAATGAAGCCACCCAGAGATACATATTAATAACTCCTGGTTATGATGAACAGGTAACCTTGGCAATAGGTTGGAGGAAGGGGATGAACTCTGGAGGTACTAGCATTTTATTTCCTTCAAGTCAGCCTGCATCTTCCTGACTCAGTCATTCATTACCTACATTGACTGTCCTTTTGTACAGGCCTCAAAATCACACTTGAATATGTGGTCAAAAATTTGATTAGACAATGACTGGAGTTTGAGGAAACATTACTTAAAATAATTTAAAGCACTTATTACAATGCTGGCAGTTTGACATTATGAGTAGGACTCCACTTTGTGTGGCACATAAAATTTTGCAGATCCTATAACATTTCAATTCTTTATCTTAGTTTTAGCATGATGTATGGACAAAATTTAAAAATGTCTTTCCTGTGAATTGCTTTAATCTTAGTGCTCATCACATAATCATTTTAAAATTGTTAAAGCTAATAATTATCACAAGATGAACAAGTAAATGAATTAGTGTATATAATGAAATATAATTATTAGAGTTCATGTTTTCAATGAATTAAAATTTTAAGAAAGTAGAATAACAAAAGTTCTATCTTTATGTCTATAGAATTTTAGCTGAAATAAAATGCACCAAAAGGTTAATTTCTTTTCTCTTTAGTATAAGATTATGGATGGCTTTTATTTTATTTTCTTACTGTTATACAGTTTCTAGAATGTCTGGTATTTGCAAAGTACTTTTGTAATCACAAAAAAGAATTAAAAATATAATTATTATGGTTATTCTGTTTTTTTTAATTATAAACATTAATTGTACAAATAGATTTTTGAGGAATTAGGATGAACTGTATGTTTTGATGTTTATTGCTAGAGATAAAGATTTAAAAATGTCTTTTCTGTGAATTTCTTTAATCTTATGTGTTCATCAATAATCATTTTAAAATTGTTAAAGGTAATAATTATTTTGCTAGTCTTCAATAGGCTACTAGTATTTAATGAGGATAATTTTTAAATATGGTGTATAATATATTTTCCATTAACTTTAGTTTTACAGGTTTTTAAAAGTGCATATGAGTACTCTATTTTTTTCCCCTGCAGACAGCCTTTTGATCGACTATCAGTTCACCTTCAGCTTGTTACAGGAAGATGATCGCCACCATACTGCCATAAACTTCATAGCAAACCCAGAACAGGTGAGGAAATGGTGTCTTTATAATATAATTATACTGGGATCAAGTGATACAACTTTTCTGTTTTTAATTGTGACTTTCCTCATTCTCAAAGTGTCAAATTTTAGGGATATTATAGAAAAAACTAATTCTATGAATTTTTTTCTTTTCATACAATTTAAGTGTCTTTTTAATCCAGAAAATTTGTATTTCATATTATTGCAAATGTTCCTATTTTTAAGTTATGTATTATTTGTATGTTTACTTTTATAACAATTTATGATCATAAACATTCAGTCAAAATCAGAGTAGTCTCTTTTGAAAGAGACTACAAATTTGAAAGCTACAAATCAAAGCATGATTTTAAAACGTATTTTTTCCCTTACACCATTCCATAGTTGTAGATTTTCATTGTCATTTTTCTAAATCCACTGGTTTTGCTGAGCTGTACAGTGCTCACTTCGTCAGTGATATAATTTTACAACCTTAGGAAGTTTAAATGTATGAAAATTTAATTATAAATTTTAATATAAACATATCAGTTTAAGGAAAGGATTTAAGTTTGTCATGAAATAACACATATATTAATATCCATTTGAGATTTTATAAGTTAAAAAGCCTAAGGAATAGAAATATCAACCATATAGCTTATTTCTGTGGAATTTTAAGTTTTGGAAACAAAAATAACTAATTTAAAAATGACTACATTATACATATACATTTTTATTTATATATTAATCCACATTATGTATTAGTATTCAAGAGGTGAAACATCTAAATATATTCTGAAAATTTTGAGCTCCTTTTCTTTAAAACCTGTCTGCCTCATCACTGTCCCAAAGTGGTTGGACCAACTGGAACCTCAAAAATATGAACCAAAATAAGCTTAATAAAGTGATTGTGTCAGATGTTTATAATAGTAAAGAATGTACTCTAACAAATGACCAAACCATCTTTAAAACATGCATAAAGAAGAACGTGTGCTGTATAACTTTTCTCTTTAGTAAGTACTTAAGTCCTCCTTCAGATTAGTGCCTTCAATAAGGCAAATACGTATTTTTCTCTAGGCACTGGGCAAACACCAATATCAAAAGTGTATATATGGTTTTTTTATCATGATATTTTAGAGGTTATGTCTTTGAATCATACATGTAAGCAAATACATATGTAGTTTAAAAATATCTTATTCATGTAATAGACCCAGCAAACAATAAATTTGAAATGAAAACAGTAAAAAATGTCATTAGAATTACTGATAAACTATATAATTTCTTAAAGTTTCCTTTTCTAGTTAAATAGGATTTTGCCTTCCCACAATAAAAGATTTATTCTGTTACTCCTTATTCCCTAGGGTTTTGTTGTTGTTTTTTGGTACTAATGATTAAACCTAGAGGGACTTTACCATTGAGCTATATCCCAGGCCATTTTATTTTTATTTTGAGACAGGGTCTCACTGAGTTGCTTAGGATCTTCCCAAGTTCCTGAGGCTGCCCTTGAACTTGGTGATCTTCTGGTCTCACACTCCTGAGTTGCTGGGATTACAAGTGTGAGCCACCACACCTAGCTATTCCCTAGGTTTAAGGAATTCTTGGAAATACATTTAAGGTTTTGATGTTTAAATAGTTTTTATAGATATTTTAAAGATATTTTATTTCAAATACAATCCTGTCTGCACTATATGTTTCTATAAAATACGTTAATAATGTCAGCAAGTATATTATCAATGTGTAGGTATTTAGAAGTCCATTTTAATCCATTGGCTGCTTTTTATTGTGGTAAATATATAAATTAATTTACCATTTTAACCACTCACTTTGTAGGTGTGCAGTTTTGTAGCATTAAATATAATTATAGGTCCAGGGATGTGGCTCAGCGGTAGAGGGCTCATCTAGCAATTTGAGGCCCTGGGTCGGATCTCAGCACCACATAAAATAAATAAAATAAAGGTATTGTGTCAAACTACAACTAAAAAAGAAAATATTAATATATATATATATATATATAATCATAATGGGGCTGGGGTTGTGGCTCACTGGTAGAGCACTTGGCTAGTATATGTGAGGCACTGGGTTTGATTCTCAGGACTGCATATAAAGTAAAATAAATAAAGGTCCATCAATAACTAAAAAAAAAAGAAATATAGTTATAATATACAGTCATTGCCATTATCCATTTCTAGAATCTTCTCATTTGTCTCTAATACAAAGTCTGTGTCTATTGTGAAATAATTCTGCATTCTTCCTCCCCCAGCTCCTAGTACCTTTATTGTACTTTCTGTCTCTGACTTTTCTTGTCCTAGGTATCTCATAATGAGATAATCATGCTGTATTTGACCCTTTGTATCTGCGTTATTGTACTTAATGTAATGTTTTTAGGATTCAAGAATGCTATAACAGAATCAGAGTTTCATTCTTTACCATTTCTTGATTGTTAATAGTAATTGCAAATATGTGGGGTGTTTTGAGTATATAAGAAATTTAAATCCAGTGAGATATTTGACTCAATAGTAATATTCCTCCCAATATCACCCATGATGTCATACATGCGTGATCAGATTGCTACAGTTTCAGTGTGTTCCTTTATCATCCCTAGTGCTTTAAGATGTCCCAGCTTTCACTTAAAAAATATATATGTATATATATTTTTTAATATATATGCATATATATATTAAATATATATATGCACATATATATGTGTGTGTGTATATATATATGTGTGTTTGTGTGTGTGTATATATATATTTGTATATATATAATATTTAGTTGTAGTTGGACACAATACCTTTATTTATTTATTTTTATGTGGTAATGAGAATAGAACGCAGGACCTTGCATGTGCTAGGTGAGCATTGTAGTGCCGAGCCACAACCCCAGCCCCAGGCTTTCACTTTTACTGTTTGCTATCTTGCCAGTTGAATCCAAGATCCCAGACACATGTTCTGATGCTAAACTATCATGAGAAGTGTCACAAGAATGCTTGGGACATCATTTTGTGTTAGTCATCTTTAATTAAGGATATATTCACCTGGGAATAATCTCTAATATTAATATCGGGTTATAGATCAAGGTTTCCTGCTTATTCTATAAAAAATAGTAACAAACAGCAGATGTCTTGGTTATTTTATTAATTTTCTTGCATTTTAACAACAGACTTAAGTTCAACCCATTGTTGACCACTTCTAGTCAGTCTTTCATATGAGCAGTTTCTTAAGTAGGTTTTTGAATCACATTATTGAACTCACCCACATTCTTAATGATGGATTTAATAATTTTCTGGGATAATCATAGAATTATATCTTTTGGAACAGCATTGAAAAAAAGCACCCTAAGTGGTTTTCATAGGGTTTCAGTTATGGCATATATTAATGCATCAAAAACTTTAATCTCAATATTACATGGTCCGTAATACCTATTTCAATAATACCTAAACTTGGAGTTTATAGAGGATGAACTGAAAATACAAGAGGTTTGTAGTTTTTTTTATCAATTGGAAATCTTTATAACCTTTACGACAAGTTATTTTCATGTTTAATTTTGCACATGATAATATGCAAACAATTACGAAGAGGGCTTCAAGAGAAAATAGGATTTACGCTTCCTAGGGACACATTGTTTCTAACATGTGTTGCTTTTATAAAAATAGCGATTATTTTTGAGTCATATCATTGAGAGTTTAAAAAATTCCACCCCTTTTAGATAGAGATTGATGAGCAAGTTCTCCTTCTTAATCCCCTGGTTCTCTGGCTGAAGATGAAGAAAAAGAGAAAGAAAATGAAGGCATTCTGTTTCCCCATATCTAATATTATCGATGACACCTACCTATCTTCATGATGGCTGGAGCCTTGCTTTTTTTTTTTTCATCCTCCCTTCTTGAAAGAGGTCATTATATCTCCATTTTATTCAAAAGTCCAAGTCATAGTAGAGAAGATAAATGAAGAGCTTTAAATCTTACTCTGAATTTTTTTACAGACTTTTTTTTCATTTAAAAATCATGAATGACATCTATACCTATTCAGTTGAATATTTACATAATGTATGGTTTGAAAAATATAGCATAGACAAATATAAATTAGTAGACTAAATCATATGTATTTTGCTATGCTTTAAATGTTTTAACTTTTATATTTTCTTTCTTGTAGTCAAACAAAAATTTGGATATTTCAATTAATGCATCAAACAACTTTAATCTCAATATTACATGGTCCGTTGGCTCAACAGGTAAAAAAATTTTTGTGTTATTTCTCTTTCAGATAAGCTTCTATATTGAAGTTCTGTTCACTTAGCTAAATCAAATAAAAATTATATACTGTAGTCATATTGTGAGTATTGATAAAGATAATAAATAGCACCATGAATCAAACTTACTTTGTTACCTTTTACCCTTATTCAATTAAAATTAGATGGCTAAAAATATACAGTTCTTAATTATTTTTAAATAGCTTGTTATAAAATGCTGTGATTTTAATTAATATAGATTAATGACTGAAGAGATTGAGATTTCAGTTATTCAGTTCACAATTGAAACTATGTTTAGTTATTAACCTTAATATTTACATAAAACAATGAAATTCTTCTATGTATGCTGATAAAAATAGTAACTAATCTACTGTTTTTAAGCTTAGAAATATACTTCTTGTCAGCTTTAGTGCTAAGAGGAAATCAAGAAAAGACTGCACAAAATGTCTTCCATAGTAAGGCTTTCAGTTGAAAATTCTGACTTTTGAAATGTGTTAACTATGAAAAAGTTTAAACTTCTATGTTAAATTGTGAAATTTTATGCTCATTTTTCACTACTTATGTAGGAGATGAATCCAAGAATATACATTTTAAAAATCCAAGAATATACATTTTAAGGTGATTTGCAATACTAAATTGAAAATTAATTCATTTACTTAGAATACTAATTCTAATTACTTCTAATATTTATTACTCTTGCTAAGATTGGTTGAAACACTTTGTTACATTCAGTTAACTTCACTGAATACTTATTGAGTGACCAATATGTGTTTAACTAATTGAGCATTTAGCTCATGTTTTAAATTATGGCCTTCTCCCAAAATATTTAAATTAGTGATGTTCAATTGGTGGTAAATCAAATAAATTGATGTTTTTTCATTTTTTAATTGGATTGAGACATGTGAAAATATGGTCCAATTTGTTTGGAAATCTCTGTGAAGTAGTAGTTAGTAGAAGAAGCTCAGTTTCTGGAGCCATATATGCCTGAATTCCAAAGAAGAATTTGCTGGTAGTAGCTAATAAATTTCGGGCTACTGCTTTAGACTTTCTGAGGTTCGGGTTTCAAATTGAAAAATAAAGATTATACTTATGAGATGCAATTTATTATTAGAAAAGAATATAAAATTTTGAAGTCAGTCTACTACATAGCATTTAATTAGTGGTAGTATTTTTTATTTCTTTAAGATTGATTGATTAATAGATTGTTAGATTGTAAAATCTTTTAAAGATTTACAGATCATTATTTCCTCTTTTATGTTATGAACTCAGGGGCACTTAACCACTGAACCACATCCCCAGTCCTTTTTTGTATTTTATTTAGAGACAGGATCTTAGTGAGTTGCTTAGCAATCCTTGCTAAGTTGCTGAGGCTGGCTTTAAACTCTTGATCCTCTTGCCTCAGTATGTGCCATTTTTTAAATTTTTTTAAGGTGGAGACCATTTTTTAAAAATTCTAATTTGTTATGTATGACAGTAGAATGCATCACAATTCATATTACACATATAGAGCAAAAGTAATATTGATACTAAATCTATTCCCATTAAATTTATGTTAAACTTTTCTACTTTGTCATTCAAAATTAAAAATATGAATGTATATTGGTAGTCTTTTTATAAGAACAATTATAAAATTAAATGTATTATATGTATATAAGTTAATAAAGATTTCTTTTTCCTAATATGACTTATATAAATTTGTTATTTATGTTTTAGCTGGAACAATATCTGGGGAAGAGACTCCTATAGTTTCCAAGACTAATATAAAGGAATACAGAGACAGTTTTTCCTATGAAAAATTTAACTTCAGAAGCAATCCTAACATTACATTCTATGTATATGTCAGCAACTTTTCCTGGCCCATTAAAATACAGGTAAGTGTTAAAGAGTATTTGTTTCAAATGATTACTGAATATTTTCATTATAAAAGAGTACTCTTTTTGTCCAAAATGAAGACATATTACTGACTTGAACAATACTAAAGGATATAAAAGATGGTTTGTACAATTCCACTTGAAATTATTAGCTATTTTTAGTAATTTATTTTTACTATAGCCTACTAAACATAATTTAATCTTTCATTAAAGATTTAAGGTGATCAGTATTGGTAGTTACTTCTTTAAGACCCACAACCACTCATAATTGATTTCTGCATCTGTACTGTGTTTCATATATTTCACTTTTATTATGGTTAGAGCTGGGCTATTGATAGGTTCCAATTTATTTCTAGGTAACATTTGGATGTTATTTCTGCCTAAAATAGTCAAGGATTGTGCTCCTACTCTGTGCTTTCATGAAAGAAATGTTGATATTGGAATTTGCCCATTCATTTATTTCTTTAAGATTGATTGATTATAGAGTGTTAGGTTGAAAAATCTTTTAAAGATTTACAGATCTTTTATGTTAATAATAGACAGCTTATTTCCTGTGACTAGAAGTACTTTCATGTTTCACTTATGTTAATTTCTATGTGATTGGAGGGTAAATGATTTTTAAAATCACACATTTATGGAAAACATTTTTTCTGTAAATTTGATGTATCGCCTAAATAAAGGAAACTTAAATGTTCAGAAATTAGTGTAAATTACTATACAGTAAATTTAGTTATGGGAATTAATTTGAGAATTTTTTTCTAAATTATTAGTGATTGACTTAGATATTGATAGAAGAATATCAGAAATATTTCCATGAAATCTTTCAAAAACTTAACAACATTGAGGATGTATAATTTATTTTCTAGGATTCATACACAAATATCGATCAGATTTCAGTTATTCAGTTTATGATTGAAGGAAAGAAAGACTCATCTATAGAGATTACTGAGTAGTAATGACAATTGGTATGATTGTTTTAATTTTAATTTTTCCATAGTTTAATTTTGATCATGCAATTATACTTTAAATTATATATTTACTTTACAATATACATAGATATTTAATGGTTAGAAATTAACTTTGTAGATTGGGTTTTCTTTTAGAATATACTTATAATCTCTTTTTAGATCATACTAGAATTTTTATAATGAAATTTGAATACACCTTTCCAATATACAATATGGGAATATACAACATGGAAAATAATTTGGACAGCTATCATATGTAGAGCCCAATTCCTATTATTATTATAGTGTTTTGAGGAACAGAATAATATTACATTAGTGCTGAGGAATATAATAAAGCATGTAATGTTTATTTAAAGGCCTTAACAATCAAGCAATTATTATACATAAAATAGTAATATTATAATAAACAGTTTTAAAAATTAATTTTATGTTACTTGACCTTTTTTATCTCCTAAGTAGAATGAGTTATTCTGATTTTAAATATCTTCCTGGGAATATCTGAGGTGCAAAGGATCAAGTCTTCAGTTTCGTTGAATTTCAAATTTTAGTAAAACATTTAGATAAAGGAGTTCTATAAACTATTAGCACATAACCTATAA